ATATACATATATTTCTACTATTAAGCAAAAATCTCATTTGAAAAGAGGCTCCATCCCAAGGGATTCTAATATACAAGCAAGTCTAGGAACCAGCACACTACACTTTTTTGTTCTTCTGCCAGGTGAAGGCACCTGCTTTGAAGGTGCTGCTCCAGGTTCAAGGCCTAGTCTGCAGGGAACAAAGACCAGTCTGGCCATCGTAACTCTGCAAGGAACAATATTATGGAACAGTAACAGCAATAATAAATAAGCAAAGGAAGCCAAACTTGATCATGAATCCTTTGGCATTTCCTCCCTTTTCACTGCCCCACCGGCTCTGCACTTGCCATGAAAGTCCCACAGGTCCAGAAGTCTATCCAGCTACAGCAAGGCTTTGCTAAGAAAAGGCTCCAGTTGGGGTGAGGGGATCAACGTGCTAGACTGTAGCCAAAAGCTCCACCACCCAGACCTGGACTTCACCTGGCCCCCTCCCCACTCACTGGCCAGCCCAGTTCTGCCTGGGGACAGGATGCATGAGGCAGTAGCCCATCTAGTCTGGCCGGCAGAGCAGCCCAAATTTGCTCCAGAGACTTTAAATGCTGTCATCCTGTATTTAACCCCTGCCTAACTGCCTCATTCTTTCCAAGACAAAAGGGGTTTTATCAGTAAGCCCTTCTCCAGGGGTGAGTGCGTGACCTCGGGCACTGCAGAAGAGGCCGGTCCAGGACTGGTCTTCTCCAGGGTGTGGATGTGTACCAGGTGAGCCCGCCCTAGCCCTGAGTCATCCTCCTGGCTAGTGTTTAAGGAGATGCAGAGGTGTCCCTTGAGTTCCAGACTGTCATTTCTCACAGTGGCCTGGAGGAAGGAGCACACTGATGGTCAGGTGTGCCCATCCATCTGACACCCCCCAGAGCCCATGCTCACAACAGCTTGGATGAAAGGCCAGGGAGGCTGTGAGCTCGATCCTCCCTACCCCCGCCCCCCACAAAGGCGTTAGAGACCTCAGTGACACCATAAGCTGCCTGTTCCCAGGCAGGAGGAGGGGACGTGAGGAGTGCAGCAACAGGCACCCAGGCACCCAGGTTCCCAGTTCGGCATCACAGCTCCAAGCCACAGCATAAATAATTGTTCACATGCAGCTGAATAACTTTCCTTAGAACAGTATGGAGCAATCTTTCCTAAGCTACTTGGTTGGAGCCCAAGTTGATCGTGGAATGAGCCAGGGCCGCATTTTCAGATTATATAGGTATTTTTGAAGGCTCTCTTCTGAGGCTAAGTCAGATGCCAGCAGGGATAAAAGAGGAGGAGAGAGGAACATTCTTGGAGTGGATGCTGACTCAAGGACACTCCCATACCCCTGGACTCACATGAATCTTAAGACCTTAGCAAAGGAGTTGGCCACCCCTGGGGGTTGGAGGGAGGGGTGTCGTCTCTCCAATAAAGCATGACTTTGCACAGCCAAGAGATGGAGTTTCCCAAGACACGTGAACACTTTTGTCTCCACTCCCTCCAACCTCCCTCCTTGAAATCCGTGGGAGCTACCTCTTTTGAAGTTTAAATAACCGCGAGTGGTTGCTGGCTTCCAAGCCCTGCCCTAACTGGGGAGGTCCGCGTGGCTGAGGCCCAGCCAGGCCAGCCATTAATACGCAAAGGAGGAGGTTAGAGGATGGGTCTGCAGCTGAATAACCTAGAACTCACGAGGGAGGTGCTGCTCCTTCAACCCACCCAAAGCAGGGCAGCCGAAAGGTGGACTGAAAGCCCCCAAAAACTCCAGATGGAGGCTGCAAAGACGACAGCTCCTAACACATGCTCTGATTTACCAGTGACACAGGGAGAGCCCCTGGGAGAAAATCCTTTCCATTTCCACCACGGAGCTGAGCCTACAGGCTCTCCAGCCACGTCGGGCCTCTCCAAGGTGGGTCTTTCTGGGCCGTGACACATTTTGTGTAAAGCAGCAGCAAGGCCGTGTTCTGGAGTAGCACGCCTTTCAAAAGACACCCAGACCCCAAGAGCTGAACTTGGGCTGCCAAATCACAATTCAGAACCCATCCACCCCTCCACCCCCCAAGTTCACACTGTCCTGGAGAGGCTACCCCAATGTCAGCCAATCCCTGTGAGAGGGACCCCAGCCCATCCCAGAGCCCACCTGCGGGCATGTGCGCGCTCTCAGGTGTCTGTGCATGGGATTGTCTATCTGTGCGTCTGCAGCAACACCCCCGCGCACACACACGCACAAGCCTGCACCGAGCAATCCATCTGTCTGGGAGAGCCAGCTGTCAAAAATGAAAGTACAATCTCCTGGAACAAAGTCACTGCCTTCTAAAAATGTCCCGTTTTCCCAGACCGAGGAAACTTGCAGGGGTGGAGTCTGTTTCACTGCGAGTCCCAAAGGACTGGGTCTGTCGTGCCCCCCCCCACAAAGCTGCAATGCTGGAATTCCAACCTGCAGCCCCTTCCTCCATGCAGGAAAGGGAAGGGCCAGCCTTGGAGTCACCCCTGCATTTCAGGAGGGGGCGTGCCTTTGAGCACACCCCCACCCCCACCTCCAAGCCACCACATTTTCACATTTGGCTGTTTTCTCTTTCCCTTCTTCCCTTGCCAAGAGAATCAAGCCCTGGCTCCCGCTGCCGACCTTCCTCCCACCCTAAACTGAGCCCCATTCATTAAGCCCGCTCTCAGCCAGGGCAGGACAGGAAGGAAAACAGCACACAGGGCCTGTGAAAGAGACTCAGAGAGGTGATTTCAAGGGGGAGGAGGCAGAAATCCCTTGTGGGCATTTTCACTGCTCCCCACCTTGACGCCTGGCTCCCCCCCACCCCACAAAACAGGCATGCCCCCCACCAGCATCCTATATTAACCCCTTCTTCCAAGGGGCTCTGCCTCATGCAGCCACTGCACCCCACTGGCCTCATCCTCTAGCAAGGCAGACACACCCAGCCCCCCCCCCCACGGCCCCATCAACTGCTCAAGAAGGAGGTTTGTGCTTTCTCCATTTACAAAACCCTCTGCCCTGGATTGGGGCCAATAAAATCACCTTTTGGAAGGATTCTCACTACAAAAGAGTAAGGCCCTAAATTTTCTCTTCCCTCCAGACACCCCAAACCAGTGACATGAACGCAAAAAGGCAGCTTCCAGAACATCTCTGCACGGTACATTATTAATACACTGCTCCAACTCTGGACGGGAAGAAGAAAGAGCTCAAACTTTGAAGCCCTGGGAATTAGTAAATCAAGAGCTAAAATTCAAAACAAATGCTCTTTCATGTGGAGGCCCCCTCCTTCTTTCTTTTTGCAGTTTTGTTAGACCACGCCATCCCTCCAGCGACACTGCGCGCCTCCTCCTCTCCTCCTCGGTAATCTAAGTGGCGGCAATTACCTGGGGGTAGGTAGTTAATGACTGTTTTACTCCTAGTTTCTCTTCAAGATTGGGGGAGCTCTGGGGCAAAAACCCACCCATCTCAGGAGGGCTGCACCCTCACACTGCAGGGCCGGGTGCTCAGGCTGGTATCTCAGCCTGGTGTCGTCATTTCCTCCAGCAGAGGAGACAGACAAGATGTTATCAATAAGACAAACCTTCTGAAAAGCCCCTTTCAAAAGCTACCACTTCCCTTGCTTATTTCATGTGGTTTGGAGGGGCCAGGGCTCCTCCCTGCACATTCAGGGTTTAAAAAATAAAACCATTCTAACAACATCCTGAGTGTGTTATTTTGCTTAGGCCCTTGCCTCTCCTCCGCCTTCTCTGCCCCAGCTTTAGGAAGCAGAAAGATGCAGTTCACACATTGCTGCCTTTTCTCCCTCCACTCCCACCCCTCCTGCCCAAAGCCCCCTCCTCTCTCTGGGTCCTCTTTTTTTCCTGCTCAATTCTCATTAGAAGCTTTGAGTAAACAATACCCTCTGTCTCAGATAACAGCCAGAGTATATATTGCACTGAAATAAAAACAAACAAAGGTCTCCCTAAAGACATTCTCAGCAAGCTCAATTCCTGGAGAGGCCAGCCTAGGAGAGGAACCATCCAGAATGAACCGCACCTGAGCAGCACTTGACCAATTAGTCAAAGAGGTCACCCCACAAAAGAGGGTACACGACAAGTGTGACAGCTCCCTCTAGAGCTGCTACACTGGGATCCCATACCACCGTCCCAAAGGCAAGAAATGCCAAAAGCCCCAAATTCTGGGAATTTCTCCCTTTTTTTCCCAGGTTGCTTTCCCTCTTGCTTCAGCTAGTTCTTCCAAAATCTAGTGATGACATGGCAGGTGGGAAAAACAGGTAGAAATGGGATGTCTTTAGAAAAAAATGAAACGTGTCCCGCATACATTTGCCAATGAGTTTCTCTAAGTGTCACCGTCTTCTCAATTCCTCAGGGAGGATGATGCTCTGGCTACCCAATGTACTTCTGCCAGTCCTGCGATCCCCCAGCACTGGCATTCCAGGCCCTCATGCCTGCCATGCCTGCCCCACCGGCCTGAGAAAACCTGCCCTGCTGGGGAATAGGCACAGCCGCCGCTCTCTGCAGTGCTCCCGTCCCCAGACACATGCTGCAGAATCCTGCACTAAGCTGGACTGGGAAGCTTCCAGACCTACTCTGCAATCCCATCCTACGGTTTGGGATCTGTCTCCAGCAAGTTCCCTAAAGATGCATCCATTCCCTTCAAGGCACCCCATGCACAAAGGACAAGAGCAAAAAGGAGCTTAAGTATACGAGTTAACAACACCAAAGTCACCAAGTTGAGCCTGGAGCTGCTTAAGAATAACTCTTCACCCACAAAACCAGTCCCCAGCCAGCTCCCATTTCCCACCCATGGGACAGACGCAGTGTCATGAGGGTATAAGGACTGCAGGATGACAGGAGGAGGAGCTGACAGGCATCACAGTGTCACCATGGATGTACCCAGGTTAAGACACATAAAAATGAGAATGAAGTCCAGAGCAGCTAGAGTGGCAGGAGGCCACCCCCATCCCTCTCGTCCCCAGTAAGTGCAAGAAATCTTGGAACTGCAGGGAAAGTACGAGAAGGCATCTTACCTGAAAGCCCCCCAGGGGCCAGATAATTCGTTCCCCCTGTTTCAGCGGAGGAAGGCACAGCATCTGGACAGTCTGCTGCAGATTTGAAAAGGGGGGAGAAAGAAATAAATACACAAATAAAAACACCGAGATTCATCTTTAAGCACATCCTCAACAGCATGAAAGACTAACCACACATTCCAAAAGGCTGACTCGCGGCCACGATGCTCATTATTAATGGTCTGCTCAGGCTTCACTGCCCATCATAAGACAGACCACAGCACCTTGTCACCCGTCTGGGCTCCGGGCGGCCAGTTAATCATTAGGCGAGTCAGGCTCAATCAGACCGGCTGGAATTTCTCTTGTATTACAAGTCTCCCATTGAGGAAACCAGGTAGTTGCCAAGGTCAAAGGAGGTTGGGGCTGGACTTTTTCAACCCTGGTGGCTCTGTCCTACCCCCCATCAAAGGCAAAAGTCCCTTGCTTGGGTCCTGTGGCCTCTCTCTGCCATGCCCACAGGTGAAGGTCTTGCTCTCATCATTTTAAACAGACTCCCCAGAGTTCGTGAGAACTTCCTCAAGATCGGTGTTGGGCTGGAGGGTTCTTTTGTCTTTCTGAGGAATAACTTAAGTACAGCAAAGCATACAAAATCTCCAGTAGACTCAATGAATTTCACTCATGTACACACCTGTGTAACCACCACCAGATCAAGACAGAGAACATTCTCAGCAAGGCTCTGAGCCGGAGGGGAAATGTTCCGCCTCTCCCAGGCTAGTCCAAACCCCCCATCTCTGTCTGGAAACCTTCCCGGGCAACCCCAGACCTGCAAAGCACCCTGGCCTCAGTTCCTATAAAATCTTTCTGGCACCCAGTACCTGGAGTTTCCTTCTGCTGCCTTTACTGATCTTTTACCTTCAGATTCTATCTGCCTTAACTAGACTATAAGTTTCTCTTCAATGTCTCTGTCACCCTAGGTGTTCAGCGCAGTGACCTTAGTGTTAATGAGGATAATGACAATCCCAGCTGAGAAAATAGACTCTACAACCGCCATCCAAGCAATTAAAACAAAAAATAATGTCCACGAACCACAACTAATTAGTCCCATGAAACACAAGTACACAAGACCCTGTAAGCTTCTCATGCACCACTGCCAACACCAAACTTCCTGAGGTCCCTTTAGTAAGCCCGGCTCAGGAGAGGCCCTTCCCAGCTCTGCAGCAAACACACCAGGTTGGGTCGTGCAGGCGCCAGTCCTCCCGTTCCTGGCCACAAGGACCACGTCCCCAGGGTGCCACACTACTAGCCTCCAACTGGAACCACTTGGCCATGCGGGCGGGGATGAATCCAAACCAAAGAGCAGCCCAGAGGCAAGTGGCCCATGAGAGTTCTCTAGGGGCCTACACTAATCAGAGCCCCCAAACATCCCCGGGTTTCTGCTGTCTGCCCCCTTGCACGCTGAGGTTCTCTAATCCAGGGTCCCTCCCTCTCCCACATTCTCCAGGCTGGAAGAATAACTATTCAAGATCTCTGGTAAACATGGGGAAAAGAGGAGAAGGAGTGGCAGAGACAGGCAGGGAAGAGAGAGAAGACTGTGTGTAATCTCACTTTATCAGGGTAAAGTATAATTCCTAACAGGAATATACAGTTTTACAGGACACACTTAATCAAATGGAAAACAATAGGGGGAGGCAGGAAATGGAGTTACTTGTCAGACAGTGTATACACTGCACTTTCTAAACTACTCTGATGGCCTTCACCATTTTCTAGGGATAGCCTTCCCAACCCTCTCTTCCACCCACCCCCCAAAACGGAAGACACCCCCACATTAAACATGATGACTTATCCATGGCCACTGCCCCCAGCTTGGGCTGGCAGAATCCCAGAAGCAAGGTGTGTTTCAAAGGAAAAGGCTGGCATCTCAGAGTAGAGCTGGGACCACATTCAGGGTGTCAGCCTGTCTCACATCAAAGGTAAGCCAGCTACACACTGGCAACCACAAGCGTTTTTATGAAATGGTGCTCTGCCCTTCTGCCGTGCCTTTGATCTCAGGAGGGATTTACAAACATTAATTAGGCCTCCCTACCACCTCTGTGAAGTAGCAAATGTATACCTGTTTGACACGCACCCAGGTAAACTGAGGCGTCATTGACTACCTCAAGGGGCCACCCAGTGAGCAGGGCTATACCCAAGAGTCCGGCAAGTATCCCACGGCTCTTGCTCCCCAGGCAGGCCATGGAGTCCCGCCCCTCCCCTCCTGGCCAGCGTCCAGGCTGAGACAGGCTTCTGCACCCAGATTGGCATCCAGCTACTTGAGGGGAAAGGGGCCATCCCTCCATCCCTCACCCACAGAAAAGCTGCGCAAAGGCAGATTTCTAAAGTCATGGGCTCACCCCTGCCTGCATCTCTTGCTCCCCAAAGCTCAGGGTGACAGACAGTCAGAAGCTCTAGGCCATTCCTGGCTCTCATCCAACACTAAATATTACCAAGCACTCAGTAAGTGCTAAGTTCTGTGGGAGAAAAAGACTCACTCCCAGCAGCTCCAAGAGAGTCTATGAAAAATCCAAGCCTGGGGTGTCCCCCAACCCCTCACCTACCATCATTATACCCAAGTGTCCCAGCTCTGCCTCCTGTAGTTCACTTGACCCAGAACACAAATGGACCCTACTTAGAGAACACTGTACTGCCTTAGAATCCTCACATTTTTAGATAAGCTCATTACCATGCCTATAGAATGAATGAATGAACCAACAAATGAATGCATGAATTATCTACTCTAACTCTTTCATCATAGGACTTAAAAAGAGGCCTGGAGAAGCTAAGAGGGACCACAGTTAAAAGGCAAAGGCAGGGCTAGATCTCACGTCAAGATGCCAGACTTCCTAACTAGGCTGTGGAGGTAGCAGCATCTGCTGGGGTGCACTGGCCCCCAGGGTTCCCCAGCCCAAGCACGAAGAGCTCTCCCAGCAACATCCCTACCCCAGCCCAGCCATTCTTCAAACCTTTCAAACCATCACACAGAGGACACAGGAAGCACAGGCCACTGGCGTCCCCACTCCATAAACTGAGATCTAGTTTCGAACAGCAAATTCTTACTCCTTAGGGGAGGGGAGGAGGGTGTTTTCTCACTTCTGAAAGCCACAAGTCACAACCACCTTGCCCCTGGGTTCAGTCAAGGGAACACTTCTTTGCACATGACTCCGCTGGTTTGGGACCACACAGTTCCCAGGTGTGCAAAGTCCAGGACCCCCAGAGTGGAGTGGCTTAAACCACAGCCAAACGGGGCTCCCAGCTTTTAGCCCTCAAGTTTCCCCAAGGGCTGCAGAGGTGCCAGGCCCCAGCTCCACCCCATACCTCTTCCCAAGCCAAAGACTTCACAGGAGGGATTCCCTTTGTCGTGCAATTGCTTAAGATTTTAACAATTGCCAACTGTAAAACCTTACGCCTGTTCTACCTAGTAACCCAAGTCCAAAAATTCAACCTAGGGCTTAGACACGTAAGAATGTAAGCAGCAGATCTAAATTCTCAGGCCAAACCCCCTCCCCTGCACAAGGCGGGGAGACCTGGGGCAGCACCCGTATGTCTGACCTCAACATCCCCGGCCGGCCACAACCAGCCCCAGACCTGTCTGTCCCCGGCCCCTCCAGCCTAGACCTGGCTGCCCTCCAATGTGTCAGGACAATTCCCCTCATGGGGGCTTCTTCACTGGTTACAGCTCCCATGTTCTTACACAACGACGCCTTTATTCGTTCCTTTTTTTTTTGTTCTGTTTTAAACAAAACGTTTTGGGTGAGTAACCAGCTGTTTGAGTTTCCGATTGGCAGGTTAATCACTTCCTATTGGCTGATCTGGAGAACGTTTCTCCCCCTTGGAAATGGCACATTCCTGTCTTTGTGGCTTCTCTGTTTACACACATTTTGCTACCTAATGTCAACACTTGCTAATGAACAAATATATCACTCCACTCACTGAAAATGAGGTCCCGGCCGGCAGAATGACTGCTTAAGAGATTTATCCCAGTATCTCTGCAGAAAACCCAAGAGAACATGGCCCTTCTTTTCCATGGTTTTAGAGGTTTCCAGGAATATCTACCCCTGATAGTCTTTACCCCTGGGGCCAAGGTCACCGTTCTCTGTTTTAAGGGAAACCTCCAAATTTGAAGAATATGAAAGACAAAACAAAACAAGGCAGAAGTGGCCCCTTGGAGAACTAACCTCATGAAAGAATTCTTGATTCTTTAAGCCACAAACCCAGTCAAGTTACATTCTTTGGGAAAACAGCTTGGTAATTCCAGTTAACGTTTGTTACAAATACAGAGAGCTGGTTATCTCTTCATTAATGACCATTTATCTGGTGTTTTGTAAATCGAAAGCAAAATATCACATGCTCTGCAGGCCACTTATTAGCCGGGCACCAGGCAAGCAGGAACGCCTTCCCAACTTGAGGGAGCTGGTGGAGTCCCAGGAGGGCTGGCTGCAGAGCATGGGCTTCGGTTACACGTTCATTAAAGTATTTAATTTACGACAACGCCCCAGCAAAACTTTTAATTGGTGGGGGGAAAGGCCCAACAGCCAAAACTCATGTGATGGAAGGACCTGGATAATTCCAGGAGCTAAATGGTGCCCAGCTCTTCACTTTTTCTTCTCCCAAAGCCTTGGCAAAATACAACTGTCACTAGTGTGACATTTTTTCAGGCACCAGTATACAGGCACAAAAACCAACGTGAGCGTTTGTGCTTTTAGCAAATGGATCTCCCACTGTACGAAGGACTTGTCCCTTTGTCACCCCCAGGATTGTTTTGCTGACCCTGTCCCCTGGCACTGCTGGGTCCAGAGAATGGGCCCCTGTGCTGCCAGCCAGAAGTAGAATGCAGACAACTGCAACAAGGCTGGTGCCAGTCTCCAATGGGCTTCTGCCCTGGCCCCACGCCAGCCAGTGACAAAGCAACAGGCAGGCAGAGAGCTATGCTCAAAACTTTGATGGCTCCTACCAAGAATTCTGAGAAAACCCCAGGAGTTTTGCTGACTTGTAGGTGACTGGGGCAAGGAGAACCCACTCTCCTTTTACTTGTTGTCTATACTTCTGGAATGTTCTGGTGTCTACTCCAATCCAACATCTCTGCACCTTTTCAAACTGCCTTTCCATTCTTCCCACTGATTCTTCTGGCACTTACAAAGTCTCCAAATTTTCCCATCAACCTGTCCTATTTGGCTCCCAAGACTAAAGCTTCCACGTGTCACAGCTGAGCCAACTTCAGTCACAGGGTGCAAACACACGAAAAAGGAACAAAATGTAAAGCCTATCTAGGAAACGTCTTTGAAAAAAAAAAAAAAAACTCCAGCCACAACAACAGAAAAATTCACCAAACTTCCAGTAGAGGAAACCTACAACCAACTTGCAGCAAGCCTAGCACCTCCCCAGGCCACTGCCTAGACAGAAAAACCCGGGTTCTAAAGGCTCCATTTCTAACTTAAGAAGGATATTTTTAAAATCATCTACTCACCAGTTGGTTTGAGAAAATCCATCGGGTATCTGGAGTAAGGAGGGGGGGGAGACTCTGGAATTAAAAAAGTAAGAGAAAATAAAGGCCCAGCCATGAGAAAGAGAGATAGAAACTTATGATAACAGAGGCATTCTTTTAGCCCAACTGTTTGTCTTAGCTGTGGGGGCTGGAGGCAGGGCCGCGAGGCGGTGATTGCCTTGATATTTAGCTGTCAGATAAACAAAAGAGGCCGCCTGGCGCCAGCCTCGGCGCTCAGCTCCTCCACGTCTGCGGCCGCTGCCGCCTCGCTCGGCGGGCCGCGCAGGAAACCACCGGCTCGGCCGGGGCCGCGCACTTCACAGTTCACGGGGCGGGGGTCCCCTTCCAGTCCCCGAACTCCGGACCCCGCTCCCTCCACCCCGCCTCCTCTCCCGCGCCCGCCCCGCAGGGGTGCAATTCACCCCCGCCCCCGCCGTGCGGGGGACACCGGGCGCCCCCTTCCCAGCCCACCCGGGAGACGCGCCCCAAGAGTGCTGGTAAACTCGGGGGGATGCGCCCCGGGTGCACCCCCACCCCCCACCCCGTGCACGTATAAGTAGAGAAAAGGGAAGCAATGGGGGAAGCTTGAGAGGATAAAAAGGAAGGAGGCTCAGGGTCCCAGCCGAGAAGCTCAGGCCCCAGTGCAGTAAGGGACAACGGCTGGGGCCCGGACATTCGATAGGCAGGTCTGTGCTTCCCTGTGCGGAAGAAAGGGGAAAAGTAGGGGGCACCCAGCTTCTCCTGGCGGTTTGTTCCTTTTCACCCTGGGGCTGGCAGAGCTGAGAGCAGATACCCAGTTCGGCCTCCCATGCTGACCCTCTCTGCCCCAAGACTCCAAAGCCGCGAGGCCAGGGCAGCATCTGAGCCACTTGTGCTCGACGTGACTCCCTTATTTACTAAAGGAGTGGAGACTTTCCAGCCTTTACAGCTCGATTCCCCCTGCCTTCCTTGGCGGGCTTGGACCGACTCCAACTCGGCCACACACCTCAACGCCTTTCCGGGTGCGGGGGAGGCGTGACCCCCACCTCTCTGCACCCCCGTGCAGATCCGGAAATGAGGGCGTCTAATTTTTAACCGCCCGTCTGCACAGTGTGTGCAGGAACAGTGCCCATAGACCCCCTCGGGCAACACAGGAGGAAAATCCTGGAAGGGAACCCCCAGGGAATGCCCTTCGCGTTTCCTCCTGTCCCTTCTCGACTTTCGTCCCCCGGTCTCCTCCCAGGAGGGGGTGTGCACTCCCCCTGGAGAGCAGGCTGCACACATACAGCCCGAGGGGGCTTTTCTTCCAGAGCTTGCGCGCCGGGGGCGGGGGCGGGATGAGCACAGAGCAACTTCTTACCTAGTTCGCAGAGTCGGCTAAGGTGATGGGGGTTGCAGCACACCAGCTCCGGGTTGATCTTCCCGTAAGATTCACAGCAACACAGCCTCTTGACTTCCGAGGAATGCCTGAGATCCGGCCACCTGAACACTTTGCACAGCAGGAGGGGGAGCGAGTAGGACGAGGGCGGCTGCGCGGGCTGCGCGCTGGCGGGCGCCCCCGGGCCCAGCCTGCAGTCCAGGCGGCCGGGCAGCAGGAGGCATGCGGTGCGCGTACCGCCGCGGGACTCCACGGCCTGGAGCAGCAGCTCCAGCTGCCGCTCCTTCAGTTTCTTGAGCACCGAGTGCGTGAGCGCCTTCAGATCCGCCTCGGCGCCCCCGGCCGCGCCGGCGCCCGCGGCTGGGGGGTGGGGATGGTGGTGACCTTTGGCACCTCGGACCGCCTTGCCCAGGCAGCAGCCAGCCCTGCCCGCGCCGCCTCCACCGGCCCCATGCGCCCGGCCGTCCGTCGCCCCCTCACCCCGCAGCTCGCCTCCTCCGCCTCCCCCCGCGCCCTCCTCCTCGTCCTCGCCGCCGGGCGCACGGCTCCTCCAGAGACGCCGGACGAGCGCAGATCGTTTGGTCCTGAACATGCGGGGCGAGGAGGCGAGGAGAAAAGTCGTTTGGCGGCTAAGGAGCGAACATGACCTCCGCACACCATGAAGAAGTCGGGTGCCGAGTTGGGGCAGCAGGCGCAGGCGACAGCAGCAGCAGCAGGAGCCCGGGCAGAAGCGGCGACGGCCCGAGGGGCGCTCCGTGGCATGCGCCAGTCTCCCGGAGGCCGGGGCGCGCGCGGGGGCCCGGGGGCGCCCGCCGGGGCTCGGGGCCCTGCGCTCCGGCTGCCCCACCCCGCGCGGCCCGCGCCCTGCGCGGCTCTCGGGCCCCGGCGCGCCCCGGAGGAACGCGGCCGCCGCTTCCCTGGGGACTGGCGAGCCTGCCCCCGTCGGCGCCTCCCCAAAAAGAGGCCCCCCCGCAGTGGCTCCCGAATGTCGGGCTCGCCAGCCTCGGCTTCCTACATGGAAGATCCGCGGGGGCAAAAAATGAAAGGCGTTCGGCTGGGCTGCTGTAGGGAGGAAAAAGCCTCTTTCCCTCTTGCTAAGCAACTTAATTTGGGGGTGGGGAAAAGCAGGCAATTAAAAAAAAAAGCAGGCACGCGATTTATTTTTTTCCTCTATATCCTTAGTAACCGGATCTCCTCGAATTCCGTGCACACGAAGACTCAGGGGAGGGGGCTGACTGGACTTCACCCCGCATGAGATGTCTGGCGAAATAAGGAGGCTCTCTCAAAACCTGAGAACCAAATATGCAAAGCCCCAAATGAAAAACACCACCTCCTCAAGCCTTGGAGGTCTGGGGGCGTCCGGCTGGAGCTGGGGTTTAAAAAAAGAAAATGTTTACAAAGTAGAACAAGATGTTTGAGGGGTGGAAAACGTAACCACGAGTTACATCCCCCTTTTTTCCTTGCAGAGCCCCGCTGGGTTTTTTCTCCTTTTCTTCTGCCCCCCAAAAAACCGTATATTATTTTAATCCACAGAAAGCTTTGGCTAGACTGCTTCAATCCTGCGCATCTGGGTGGTTTAGGGGAGTCTCTGGTCTTCCCTCCTCTGCTCCCAGGGGCCCAGGTCCTCGGCGGGGACTTCCTCGCGGCTGGCGGGGGCGCAGGGGCAGAAGATGCTGCGGCGACGGCTGCGCCCAGCGGGGCTGACAGCGCGGGGGAGGGCGGCGCGGCGGCGGCGGCGGCTGGCCCCTGGTGGGTCGCGCGTTCTCGCCCCCCTGGGCACAAGCTGCCGGCTAGTGCGGGGGCCGCCGGTGCCCCTTTCCCTGGCCGCGGCTGGCCGCCGGGGCTCCTCGCATGGGCTGCTCGCCCTGACCCTGCTGCGGCGGCAGAAGGCCCCGGTGTCCTCTCGCCGCCTCCTCCTCCGAGAGTCTCCTCGTCGCGCCTGGGAGCCTCCTTGTCCCCCGTCCGCCCTCTCCTGGCGCTCGGGTCCTTCTGCCGCCGCCAGGGGCTGGCCGCGCCGCACTCAAGGGCTCCGGGGCCGGGCGCGCGGCGGCTCGGCGCCGGCAGGCTGGCTCTGTCTCGGGCAGCTCTCTCCCGCGCGGCGAGCGGACCGAGCACGGCGCCCGGCTGGCTCGGCTGGCGCGGCTTGGGGACAGGCTCCTCCGTGCGCTGAGCAGCAAGCGAGTGTGCCCGGGGCTCGCCGCCTCCCGCAAGGCCTCCCGCCCCCGCCCCCTTCCCTCCCCCTTCCCTCCCCCGCCCCCAGCCGCCGCCGCCGCCTCCTCCCCGCCCCCCACCCCCCCACCCCGGCCCTCTGCTCGGCTGGTTCCACTGCGCAGTGGCGCGCCCGGCTCCGGCCTAGTCACGTGGCCGTCTAGACACCCTGTCGCTTTAAAAAAAAAAAAAAGCGATTGTGTTTCGCAAACAACAGATCGGGTTTCTAAAAGCTATTTCTCCGCCCCCCCGCAGCCACCGCCACCCCCTCCCAAGTCTGCAGAGGGGTACCATGGGGGGGGGAAAGAAAGGTGGGAGCAGACACGCTCCCCAGTCGACTGAGACCCGGCTGGAGCAGTGGGGAAATTGGGAGAGCCGGGAGCAGCGAGCGGGCTTGGCCGCCGAGTTTTGGAGCTGAGCGAGCGGGTCGGCCCGATTCAGACCCGGCGGAGCTCGCGGCAGTGGCCGCCCCGCGCGCTCGCCCCAGCGCTTCATTCATTCGTTTTGTTTTAAAGGCCCTGGCGGCAGATCCCTTGGCTGCGCCCGAGGGAAAGGGGAGGAGAGCGCGGTCTCCGCTTTAAAAGACATTCACGCCGGACTGGACCGAGGCCCTGGGAAGTGTGCGCTGGAGGGAACAGCCGGGCCGCCGAGGGCGGGGAGGCGGCGCGAATATGACCTCAGCGGCGGCCGCGCGCTCCCTCCCGCCCTCTCCGCTCCGGGCTCCGGTTTCTAGGACTGCCTGGAGAAGTGTGTCTTGTGCATAGCTCTGGAATGCATTTGGCCGGCTGACGAGCTGCGAGGGGCAGCATCCTGGCGGGAGGAGGGGGGCGGTGGGGGGGGCTCGCCTGCGCGCCGCCGGCAGGTTTCCTTCCCGGCCCGGAAGACCGCTGCCACCCGCCACCCTGCCTCCCGGCGCGGGAAGGTTACCCAGCGAGCAGACCTGCCTAGGGCATTTATTTGCATGCGGGGCCTATTTCTGCGCTCTTCTGGGCCTTGTAGCTTTTCAAGGTGCTTAGGGTCAGAGAGTTTATCGCTTTACCCCAGGTTCCGGAGAGACATGCCCAGGTGGCAGGTTACCGCATGGAAATGAGCAAGGCATTGGTAGGGCAGAAGACCTGAACGCGGTTGCAGTGTGAAAACCGATGGTACCGAGAAATGAAACGTAATGATTTAAATATATACACATCAATATTGCCTAGGCCACTAGTTGGCATGGAGCTCTAACCACCTAATATTCAGAGAAATACGATTTTTTTTTAAAGAAGTCATTTGGAATTGTAAGATCAGGACAGCAATGAAACTCATTGAGGATTTTAAGGAATCTTTAGAAAAGGTGAAATGTACTATTTCCATCTCTCCAGCTAAATTATATGTTCTTAAAAGAAAAAGGCAGGCCTTTAGAGCTCAAGCTCTCTCCCTTCTAACAATTTAAAAGGTTTTTAACATACAATAGTGGATGCTTACTAAATATTTAGTATTCAACACTTATAATTCAGTAGAACTACAGGGGCATTTGATCCACTCTCCTACCCCACCAAGAGTACCTTTGGTGATATAACTATGAGAGGAAATCAGCAACACTGGTTACATGACCATCTTTCCTAGGGGTCCCAAGGACAGTGGGATGCCAAGCTATGCAGAACCCTGTAGAACAGGAGGGAAGCTGGCATTCTGAACAGTAAGGCCACATAGGCTGCAATTGTACAAACATAATCTTGTTATAAATTAAAACAGTGCTTATTGAAAAGGGCACCAAAACCCAGTGTGTGTGTGTGTGTGTGTGTGTGTGTGTGTGTGTGTGTAATGTCCTAAAGAAGCAATCTGCAAAGACAGCAGCCAGGAAAGCCCAGGAGGGAATGGAAAAAGGGTGATCCCATCCCCATAGGCAGGGAAAGACAGAAGAGACAAATGGGATTTTGAGGGGCCTGGGAAATGAAAGAGTCCCAGTCTAGAGATCAGAAAACCTGATTCCAGGCTGGGGCTTTGCCACTCCCTGGTTAAACAACGTGGGCTAATGAATAGTGATCCTCATGTTAGGGGAGCGCTCGGCAGGGTTTATAAGGCTTTCTGGACAAGCTTCCTGTCCTCTGGGTCCCATTCCCTCTCTCTGTTCTGGGCCTGGTTTGAAGATCTTCACTTTTTGAGAGTGACAGGAAGGACTTAAATAAACAGAGAAAGCAAGTATCATAATTCTAATTCCACTTCTTGGCTAAACGGAGTATCTGAAGAATCCTCTAGAAATCTGGCCAGTGGTGCTAACACTCTGTAATGAGAGGCCAGAGCTCACACAGGGCAGGTAGGCTTAGTGGGTGTTTCAGGAGTTGACTCTGACGTCACAGCTTCTCTGGGTGGAACATGCATATACTTGCAGAGATATGTTCCCATAGTCTAATTGTAGGTGTTTTCATTCAGGCGTCACCCCCATCTTGCCCTCCCTACAGGGCTCCCCTCCTCCATTTTGCTACCCTAGGCAGAAGGTGGGGGGATGCACAGGAGTAGCTACAATGATCAGTGCTGCTTTATAGCTCTCTGGCATCCCTTGAATCAGTTAACATCCCAACCTTCCTGACAGCGAGCCGCACCCATCACATTCTTACTCCTTTCCTTTCCAAGAAAGAAGCCCAGCCAGAAGCCCGGTGGTGGAGGAACTCCTGGCTGGCTGGTATGCCTACAAAGGGAGTTCCTTTCTTTTCCTTCCGCGGCCCGAGTGAGATGGACAAGCACACCATTTCAGACTCTTCTGACCATTAAAAAAAAGTTTAGGAGTTCACCCAACTATTGTGAATGAGTTTGATTCTAATCATTTGCTGGCAAGGGAATATGGAATAAAATATCTCATTTGCAGTTGTTTATTTCCTGTTGTGGCTTCTATTTTCATCTTTTAGTCGCTTTGGTGATAGTAATCAAACCCTAATCATGGTGCAGCCACAAGTCACAAAGACCAAAATAACTCGCAGCAGAGTTATGACAAACAAGGATGGAGTCAGCTAAAGACATGGCTCTTTAATCACTGGCCCTTGACGCCCAGAGGACGGTGGGGGGCTTGACGGACTGCTGGGGCAGGAGGAAGCTGCTGAGGCCAGCAGCGCACAGGAAGTGGTGGGAGAAGCCAGGTGAATCCTCCCCCATACCTGCCAAGGTGAGAGGCGGCTGTCACAAAGGCCCGGCTTGACAGACAGAAGGGCAGAACAGGAACATCTGCAAAACTCTCAGCGCCTCAAAACAACTGTAAGCAAAAGCTGAAAAACTCCCGTCGAGGGAAGACAGGATTCTGCCTTTCAGTTCTTCGCTCATTTTCAGTGCTTCCTGGAAGAGAAGGGCAGAGAGAGGCCCCAAAGCACGCATGGGTGTGTGTTGGTCGGGGCGATGGCGGGGATGAAGACTTTTTTCTTGCACAAGCCAAAAGAAGCAACAATTGAAGAGGCCAGAACATTATTGGAAAATGTCAACATTTCTTGCACAATCATCTCCTGAAAAATGTGTGAGTGAGCCCTAAACCATGTTTAACGGGCGACGGTACAAGTGGAAGCAATGGTTTATGAAAGGAAGATAGCACAAGTCAGGCCCTTGGGACAATGAGTACTTTTCTTGGCTTATCTTGGAATAACAAGAATGTAAGTGAATGGAAATGCATCTAATTCACTATCAAATAAAGATGCTATAAGCCCTGACTCATCACATATTCTTGTATTATACACATACTGTGGGCTGACCCATAGCATGTGCAAGGTGCCTTTTCAGAGCCCTCAACTAGGCACTCAGAGTTGAGGTGGGAGCAGGATGACGTGAATGTTGTTTGGAAGAGACAAGAGAAACGTCTAGAAAAATAAGGACAACAGAGACATTCCAGCATAGAGTCACATATACGGTAGATACAGCTTCCTCCAAGGAGGGGGCAGTGGATAGCTGACGAACAGAGCTGGGAGGGGAATTTCACTGTATATGACTTTTTGTACCTTTTGAATTCTGAACCATGTGACTGTGTTACTTATTCTAAAATAAACAGATTTAAAATTTGCTTTTCTCATTTCCCTAAATTCACCGTTCTGCTGTCCGTATAGAAAAGGACAAGTTGGTGGGGTCCCACGTGGAAGTGAGGCTGTAGACAGCTTCCCGCTCTGCGGGGCAGTTACTACAGGAAAGGCCGTTGACAACAGAGGCCGATGTCTCATCCCAGACGACGAGGGTGGAGGCTGCCTCATCATGACCCTGGCAGGAGTCAGCGAGGAAACACGCCAGTCCTAATCAGAAGTCATTCCAGATATCAGTCAGGTGCAAGTCCTAACCCAGGGCAGACAGCCTAGTAAATACTGATGCCGCGGCGACAGAGGCACAGGAAGGAGCCTGCCCAATCTGAGAAAATGAGAGCTTTGCTTTTTGGAACAGAAATGTATTCACGTGATCCTCAGTCCATTTAGCCAGCACTGGTTCAGAGCTGATGTGGTGCCAGGCACCGGGGGAGACATCTGAGGGATATTAATGTGAATATTAAACAGCCTCTGCTCTCAAGAAGTGCACAGTCTAGAAATACACTAGAAATATGAAAATAACAAACTCTCACAAAATGTGATCGGTGCTACCCCAGCAGCAAGAACGGAGGCGCCAGCTCAGGAAAACAGAAAATCAAGATACGTGTTCTGTCTGGAAGGGGCTTCAAAAGGTTTCCCAGAGGAAGAAATAATTTAGACTAGATTGGCTGAGTGGAGTAGCCAGGCAGAGGTGCTTCTAGTACTAACGGTCCTATTAAAAAGGAAAACACATAAAAGGAAGGAAAGAAGTTTCATTTACTTTGAGCTAACTCTTCAAAACCCAAGCTACGCTTATCACGTAAGAGTATAACTTTATCTCTAAATGCTCCAAAACGGCAGGAAGTCAGGGATGGAAGTGAGGTCCCTGCAATGGGTGGTCTGGGAGAATATCTCCCTCAGCAGGAAGTTTTCTTTGTAGAAAGAAATTGTAGGAGCAACACTAGATCATCTATAGTTACAGGGAAGTTTGTCCTCAAATAACTGGGGAAATCTCTGCGATCTCCCCAAATCAACAGCAGGCCTCCCTTGTGGCAAACTGGTTGATGTCAGGAAATGAGGCCAGTTTCGATGCAAGTGGAAGGGACGTGCCTTCAGTGAAGCTGGCCTGTGACGTCTCAGTCATAGGGGTACTTCGATAACGATAACGCTTTCAGATGCCGACGACAACAAAAATATTATTCACCATACAGTTTGGCCGATTCCTATAGGCACTAAAAAATGAATTTTCAAGACAGCAAAGCAAGGAAATAAGTTTCAAGCGTAACCCAGATGTATCCTGATGAGCCCTGGTGTTACGTCTCACTGTCCATGCTGCAGGCAGGCACTTCATTCCAACCCCAAGCTACACTCAAATGGACTCCAAGTTCCTGATCATATTGGGCTACCAAATTAACCTTTTCTGATTTTTTTCTTTCTATTTTTATCTTTCTCATTCCCCTGCCAAAAATCATTAAACGGTGACTTTGGTGCTGAGTTCTGCCTAGTAAGTGCTGGTTAGGATGAGACATGAGACATTCTGGTAATGGTGAATCAGAACTGGCAGGCTGCAGAGGGGTGAAGGATGTTTTGTCTGTAGCAGGGAATTATTGCAAGAGCAAACGGGTCATAGATGACCACACATGCTGCCCCTGGCACATCCTGGGACCCACCAAAGGAGCCCAGCCCCATGAGTGATGGCCAAGGCATTTCTTCCGGTGAGGACCTAGGAGAGCAGAAAAGACCCTCAGCCCAGTTTGCAGGTTCAATAGACTTTTCTGCTATTACTAGCTTCAAGGCCTAAGGGAAGTCCATTTACAGAAGTCTGTCTACCTTTCTCATTGCTAACACTGAATTAGCAATGTCTTGTGTATGCCAGACTCAATGTGAGGCTCAAAGAACAAAGTCCTCACCTTGGTGTTGCTGGGAGAGGGCCTTGACACCCCGAGAACCTAAGTGCTATGTAAACCAAGTGGTATACAGATGCTAATTAGCATTATTATCATGGATTCTGAGGTCTGAGCTGCCCATGAGCTAATTTTGCCTAATCTTCCACTTTCCAAATTCTAGGAAATGAATTTTTAGAGGAGGAAATTGTCCAAGTGATAGGGTAATGAAGAAGGAAACCTCTTTTTCTAGCAGCCAGGATTTTGTTCGTGTGGGTTTTACAAGGACCAGTTAGAACTCTGCCAAAGAGGTAAGGCTGGCATCTGAGTGTAAAAACCAACAAACCTGGGAAAATCTTTTTTTTTCTTTTTATTTATTTTTTTTCTGAGACAGAGTCTCACTTTGTTGCCCAGGCTAGAGTGAGTGCCATGTCGTCAGCTTAGCTCACAGCAACCTCAAACTCCTGGCTTCAAGCAATCCTCCTGCCTCAGCCTCCCAAGTAGCTGGGACTACAGGCATGCACCACCATGCCCGGCTAATTTTTTCTGTATATATTAGTTGGCCAATTAATTTCTTTCTATTTATAGTAGAGACGGAGTCTTGCTCTTGCTCAGGTTGGTTTCGAACTCCTGACCTTGAGCGATCCGCCCGCCTTGGCCTCCCAGACGTGAGCCACCGTGCTCGGCCGTTGGGAAAATCTTTTTCCCTGTCAGAATAAAAGAAGGAAAGTGAGAAAATGAGAAAAGTGTTTACAGTATTACTATGAGTCATAAATATTTTCCTATTTCCTAGAAATATCTCCCCTGGTAATTATGACAAGCAAAAGAGTGGGAAGAGGGTTCATCCTTGTGCAGCAGGAGGTACCCAGTGGGGCAGAATTCTGCACTGCTCATCTCAGTCTCTATCCCTTCTCCAGCCCACAAAGGTTTATTTTGCAGGCTTTCAAGGTGGTGGAATATGATGTTATTCAGCATTGCTGGAGTGTGGTAGACCAATAAGACAAAGATTGGGAGAAATGCAGTGCGGTGAGCATGGACTAGCAGGGATTGTAAAGGTTACATAGCCTGGAGGTTCCCCGTCTCCACTACAGACACCAGAACCTGTCGTCCATGGTCAAGTTTGTACACTGTAGTGTATGTTTCCGAAAGCTAGACTATTTGGTGATTTTAGTTTGCTCTTTATATACTGTTGATTTTTGAATAGGTAATACTTGCATAACAGTACACAATTCAAGAATACAGGCCAGGCTTGGTAGCTCATGCCTGTAATCCCAGCACTTTGGGAGGCAGAGGTTGCAGGATCGTTTGAGGCCAGGAGTTCAAGCCCAGACTGGGCAACAGAGTCCTCATCTCTACAGAATAAAAAAAAAAAAGACTGAAGCATGGTGGTGTGCACCTACTACCACACTGTCCTAACTACTAGGGCAGCTGAGCATAGGAGTTTGAGGCTGCAGTGAGCTATGATCGTGCTACTACACTCCAGCCTGGGTGACAGAGTGAGACCCTGTCTCTAAAACAAACAAACAAACAAACAAAAAGACTCAAATAATACAGAAGTTTAGGAGAAAGAGTTTCCTTCTGCCTGGGCTGCCAGCCACCCATTCCTCTCTGAGAAGGCCACCATTACAGCCAGAGACACGGAAAGTGATTCAAGTTAAAGAGCAGGCCTCTGCCTAGGACTCCATCCCCCTGCCTAGCTGACATCTCAAAGGCACCCAAGGCCCATAATGTGCCAAACAAGTCATCTTCCTCCTAGCCTGGCTTCTCCTGCAGAGCTCCGGCCTGCAGAAAGCTCACCTGCCGCCAGCTGGTGGTCAGAACCAGAAACCAAGGACAGCACACCTCTCCCTCACCCCTTAACTAAACCAGTCCCCCAGTCCTGTCAATGCTACCTTCAAAGTGCCTCTCAACCTGTCTGGGTTCATCCAGGCCCAGCCACCCAGGGTGCCAGCCCCTTGCACATCTGTCTGGGCCACACCTTGGCCTCCTTGTCTTCCTCACTTCCATCCTTGCCTCGCTTGAATCCACGCAGTGCCCGTCTGCTGCCAGGCGTTGGTCTCCGTGCTGATGTGATTGCAGTACTTCCCTAGGGCTTCTGAATGCCTGGTGACTGGAACCCTCTCCCTCCCTCCCTGGTCACCTCAGTATTCTTCCTTCCCTCTCAGGGTCCCAGCCTGAAATGCTCCTCTCTCCTCCCTTAGGCCTCCTCCAGGCTCCCAAGATTAGGTGACAACGCCCATGATCATGAGCCCTCAGAGTGCCAGGTGCATCTGCCTTTTGTAGCATTTACAGCCCTTGAAATCTTACATCTAATTCTGATGGATTCCTTGATTAACATCTGCCCCTCCCCCATCCCCCAACTGTAAACTCCCAGAGGGCAGGGACCAGTACTCAAGCTCTGTGACTGGTTTAGAGTGGCACTCAACCCATGTTGGCCAAGTAAATGACCGACAATGACGGATAAGTCATTTATTCATAGATGATGTCCTTCCTAGTTTTAGGAATCAAACGTGTCCTATCTTTTATGAAATGATGGTATTATGGAGTGGTGTTTATTTATGGATCTACTTAGCAAAATTAAATGTTAGCAATTGAATGGAGGGATCCTTCAATTCAAAGCTGTTTAAAGCCCAAGGATAGAATCTCAGAGTAGAGAGAGACCATGGAGGACTCCAAATATGCCGATGAGAAATAAGTTGCCCCAAAAGTTGAGGGGACTTAATTAAAACTCTCCCAATTACTTCCCACTCAGTCCCCTCCTTCTCTCTCTCCCCTCTTCCTTTCCTGTCCCAGGGTCTTCAGGAGCATTCTCTCATCTGGGGCTCTATGATGTCGGGGCAACAAATGAGACCCTGAGAGACTGAGAATTCTCCAAAGTTAGTGGCACCTTCCAGTCCAGAACAGACCTATCCCTTTGCCTACCTATTGCCACACCTATCTACATAATGCACAGTTGGCCCACAGATCTAAACGACAACCCAGCAAATGTAAAGCTAAAAAGAAACAGAAAAAGACAGTCCCACTCTGTCTGGCTGGCCTAATGTTTTCACAGAGTAGGTGCTCTGTGAATGAATGAAGGGCTGGGTGGGGAACCTGCAGCCTTGAGGCCACGTGTGGCCTCCCAGACTCCCAAATGTGGCCCCTTGACCTAATCCAAATTTTACAGAACAAATCCTTTTAATAAAAGGCCGCACTCAAGGATCAAGGCTGAAGAGGTTTGGAAAACATTCAGTAGGGTGAGGAGCTGGGGATGGGGTTGGTGTGGGGTGTGGGGTGTGGACATGAGAATGGCTGTTTCAGATGTGATCAGGACAGGGTGGGCACACACATTCCACTTCTTGCACACGCATGCACTCATGCACACACACATACATGCACGCCAGGAATCACACTGGCCGTTAACCCCAGGCAGCTGTCCCCCAATGTCCTGCACTGGCCTGGGACAAGTAGAAGCAGAGAAGGAGTGGAGTAAATCCCACCCCAGCTAGAAAAATCCAGGTCCCAGAAAATACTCAACAAATGTGTGTTCCCTTCCTCCTTCTTTCCTGGTGACAGTGACAGATAGGGGCCCCCTGGGGGGAGTGTATTTTCATCTTCCCAGAGAATGCGATCCATTATTCCAGGACTTTTCTATCCTCTCTGCCTCCACACAGCCTTTCAACCCAACACTCAATCTCTCATGGAATATTCTTGACACTTTAAAGGATCTGGCCAGCATGTAAGCCAATGTGGCTGCATTCTTTAATTAATATTTATTGAGTGTCCCTATTAGGTGTCTGGCAGGCACAGCGTGTTGTATGTGGCTAAAATATCTATTCCCCTTCCTCTCCAAGAGTGCACATTCCTGGACAACCCAGAAACGTGGACACTCTGAGTAAAAGAGCAACAAACTCCAGCAGCAGTGACAGTTGGGAGTTTGCTGGAAGACAGAGGCCCTACGCAGGGCCCAGGGGCAGGAGCTTGAGTCCTGGGGCACAGACTCAAGCTCCGGCAGGTAAGGTCACTTCTCTGAGCCTGTGTCGATACAAATGTGATTGACAATATCACTATTCCTGCCTCCTGGGGCTGGGAATGTTGTAGAAACCAAGTGAGATCATGTAAGTGATGCCCTTTGAAAAGTTTAATAAGAATGCCAGATGTTTCCTCCCCCATAAAATCTTTGGTGTCTTTCTTGGTAGGCACAAAAATTCAATCAGGTTTAAAAGAATGGGATCCTGGAAAGTCAAAATCTGAAAAATGCTAGTTGTGGCATGAGTGTAGATTCTGAAGTTCTGATCCAAACTGCAGACAAGCTCTTTTACCCTTTGCCACATATTAAATATGCTCATCTTCACTTATATGTGTGTATATATGTATTATATATACACACACACATACGCACACACATTTGGAGGGAGAGAAGGCCTTTTGGGCATGGCCCCTGTGCAGTAACTTGGTACTGCATATCTGCAAATGCAGTAAACTCTGTGTGTGCGATATGAATACATTAGACTAGGAGTTACCACAAGGACAGAGTTAGGTGCACAAACTTCAGAATTTTAATTTCATACATTATTGCTGGACATGTAAATTGATGTGATCTTTCTAGACAGCAGTAGATAATTTGCATTGAGAGCCATAATAATGTTCCTGTGGATAAACAAAACGAGGCATATACATACAAGGGAATATTATTCAGCCTTAAAAAAAAAACACAAGAAATTCTGACACATACTCTGACATGGATGAACCTTGAAGATATTATGCTAAGTCTAATAAGCCAGTCACAAAAGGACAAATACTATATTATTCCACTTATATGAGGTAGTCAAATTCAAAGAACAAAAAGTAGAATAGTAAAACATATAGTATATATAGAAATAAATAGAAAAGAAGAATAGAATACTGTGGGCTGGGTAGAAAGGGGACTGGGGAGTTATTGTTTAACTGATATAGAGTTTCAATTTTGAAGATGAAAGAGTTTTAGAGACGAAAAGTGGTGATGGTTGTTCCACAATGTGAATGAACTTAATGCCACTAAACTATACATTTTAAAATGGCTAAAATTGTAAATTTTATCTCATATACATTTTACCACAATTTATATAAATGTTCCTAATCTCCAATCCAGTAATCTACTCAAAGGACTTAATCAAAGGATTATGAAGAGGACAAATATGTTTTCATAAGGGTGTTACTTTAAGTCTTATTTTGGAAAAATTGTGAACAAACAACTCAGGGAAAAATAATAGTGGAATGAGTAAACAGATGATAGAATATCTCTGTTAGTTTCTCGACATGGATGAAACAGAGGGGGAAAAAGCTATCTGTGTTAGGAAACACCATGCAACCATTAAAAAGCTTGCTTTCGAAGACTATATAATGACATGGCAAAATATTCAAGATAAACAGAATTCAAAACCACTTGTCCCGAGAGATCTCAATTTTGGATGCATGCATACTGGTATATCTGCAAGAAATAACCATCAGAAGAAAACAAACCAGTGGTTATTTCTGGATGGTAGGGATTGTAATGCATTTTTATGTTCTTTTTCATCTGTACCCTAATGTTCTATGATGAGCATGTATTAATTACCTTTATACCAGGAAAAAAATGGTAAATCAAAAACATTTTTTTTTTTTTTTGTAAATCAATTTTAAAAAGGCTGTCAAGCTTGCGAAAGTGTCTCCTGATCCCAGCTGGATCTGAGTATGTTCAGGAAGTGGTTAGCACCCAGGCAGGGTTCCACACCACATGCTTCCAATCAGCTCTCCTGCAGATGAATCAGATCTATGATGTACACCGCTTGGCTGCAAAGTACCCGGGGCACAACGTGAATGCTTGTGATAAATATTTGTGATTAGGTGACTGTGGCCTAAACTACTTTATACCGCTTTGGGGCCTCTGTAGCAGTTTTGTTGAAACTTTAGGATATACATAGGAGTTGCCTAAAGATTACATGTCGGAAGTACTGAAGAAACGTAAGGTCGGATGTGAATTTCACATTTAAAAAGGATGTGGTTGACAAGTATGATTCATATGGGTTTAGTCAAAATGTCCAGAACACGATCTTCATTACATGTTAAATAGAGGCATTAGAAGTTGACCAACTGATAACTCTAATTAAAGAAAAGTTCCCATTTTCAATGGCAACCAAAAAGATAAAATACTTAGGGAAAACATTTCAAAAATGTGCATGATCTATATGAAGAAAACTTCCAGATATTAAAGAAGAGTCAAATACTATGTTCTTGGGTAGGAAGAATCAATGTCATAAAGGCGTTAACACTCCTCAGATGAATGTATAATTTAACTTGATCCCAATAGAAATGCCCATGGAATTTAAGCAAGGGATTGGTGGGGCTGAAAGATTAAGCCTAAAGTTTAAATGAAAGGTAAATGCTAGGTAAAATTTGAACAATAAAAGTGATGAACAGAGACTAGGCCAACCAAATATTAAAAGACACTATAAAGGAACTAAAATAGTCTCTAATTGACACATGCATAAAGAGATCCATGCAGCAGAATGGAGAGGCTAGACATTGGTTTAAATACGCATGGCTTTTTTCAAAGAGCCGATTTATGGCTTTGATAATTTTCTGTGTCTATTTTCTATTTTATTCATTTCTGTTCTTTTTTATTTTCTTTCTTCTTTCTTTGGGCTTAATATGCTTCATTTTCCTTCCTAATCAAAAATATTTATATCATTGATTTTTCAGCATTTCTTCTTTTAAAATACATACGTATAAGATTATACATTTCCCTTTCAGTATAACTATAGCTGTAGCCTGCAAGTTTTGATAGTTTATATTTTCATTATCTTTCAATTCAAAATATTCCATTTGGCTCATGGGTTGTCTAGTGTGTTGCTTAACTTCCAGACATTTGGGAGATTTTTCTAGCTATCCTTTTATACCTTAATTTCACAGTGGTCAGAGAACATACTTTGAATGGCTTCAAATATATATGGACGTTAGTTTTATATAAAGATAGTATTTCAAATCAGTTGGAAGAAAATGGATATGCAATGAGAGGCACTGGTTGGGACCTGGGAAAAAAAGAAAAGTTATCCACTTCATCCATGTAGCAAAGGAAATTCCTGATAGATCTTAGAGTTAAATGTAAAAGCTAAAGCCATAAAAATATTAGAAGACCACAGAGGAAATTCTTCTAAAATGTAAGAGTAGGGAAACTTTTTTCAACCCAGAAGCCTTAAAAGATTAATAAATTTAACCTACATAAAATACCCAAAGCTTCGCATGGTCTAAGCCCCCATGAATGTGCTCATAGATGTTAGATGAGAGAGCAAGTCCAGGGATGAATGTGTACAGAAACTACGCACTGTCAGAGTTTAGGAGGGTGGATCTCAGGACATTTCATGGCCAAGAACTGAGTCCTGAATGATCAGTACGACTTGTATAGATAGAGAAGAAGTAGGGAAAATATTTCAAGTTCTGGGAAATGGATAGAGCTAAGTGTTTCGCCTGTTAGAAAAGCCTTTGGATTATCACAGCTCTGCCCTCAACTTGCTGGAAGATCTGGGGTATGTGATCCGGGCCTCATCTCATTTAATGTGATATTTTCCAGGACCTTTATTGGATGTGTGGGTCACAAGTGATAAAAGTCTTCCACACTGACCACATTGGAGTAGCCAGGAGGCTAGGTTCCATCCAGACCAAGTATCACCATTCAACTAGCCCTGTGACCCTGGTTGGATACATCACTAAACCCACTGGGTACCATCAAAAGAGGCAGTGGTTAGAAGCACAAACCTTGGAACCAGACTACCTAGATTCAAATCTTGGCCCTGCCTTTTACTAGTGTTGTGCCTCAATATTCACACCTATAAAATAGGGGGGATAAGGCACCTTCATTGTAGGATTGTTCTTAGAATTCATTAATAATTTTATCAAAATATATAAAGCATTTAGAAAAGTACCTAACACACAGTAGTGCTCTATCAGTGTTAGCTGTAAAAATAATCATGAATATTATTATTATTAATGCAATTGACCAGTACATGGAAAAGACCAACTCTTATGCTAGGATATAGAGAACTTCATTTAGAGTTAAAGATGAAATTTTAGATCCTGAAATAAGAGATGCTGAAAAGTCTCTTTCCTCAGAAATTGTGAATACAGTTGGGAAGAACATTAGAAATAATCAATAAGATAGGTCATTCAGCCTGTTTGAAGACTTTCCCAGGGACTGTGCATTCTCTGCTTTCAAGGAAACCTATTCTTCCCCTGCTGGACTTTCTAGTTCAAAGGCTGACTCCAAATGGAGCTGAAATTTGCCTGTGGATGACTTCCACCTATTGATGTAGCTCCTGCCTTCAGCAGCTACATAACATGTAATCTACCTACACCTGCCAGCCCTTCTTGAAAACTCTTCCTACATCCACCTTCACCTACAAACTCGACATGTCCTGTTCTGGCAGGTAATCGTCCCAGAACAGGATTCCCAGACCCCCTGGCATCATGGTCACCCTTATTTGTTCACCATCATGGTCACCCTTAACGTTGAACCTTAATTGGCTTCTGTTAAAAGTTGGCACCCAGATTGTCATATCTGGATACAGAATGTTCTAGCCATGAGTGAGGAAAGGGAGGGAAGGAAAGAAGGAAAGAGGAACAAAGGAAGGAAAGATGGAAGGAAGGAAGAAAAGGAAGGATGAAAAGAGTCCAGTTGACACCATAATATACGAGAACCATCATCTCCTTTGTGCTTTTGTTAATACAGTCTCAGATTATATTAGCTTTTCCAAGAGGAGCTTCCAGAGCTCATTGGCTTGGGGATGCAGGGGTACCTCCCCAGATCTCCTCCTTTCCTGGGGAGATAAGGCTGTAGGACCCACTGATTGATGCCCATCTGCCCTGCAAGCCTGCCAAAAAGGTGGTCATACAACAGAAAAGTTGAAATCAGAAACAAGTACTCTAATCATACAAAGAAAGAAGCTTGCCAGTGACTAACTCAAAAGGTCCTATCTCTCCTGACAGACAAGAGAGCTATTGGGGTGTTCATTAGTGACGCTCAACTACTATTTCTGGCTCCATTCCCAGGCGACAGGTAGAAATGCATGTTGCCACCCCCTTGGAGTTAGGGTAGCCGTGTGTCTTGCTTCCGCCAATTAAATGCGAGTGGCAGAGCCAGGCCACTACCATCTTGCTCCTTTTGCCTGCCTTTGGCAGTCATGCCCAGGCAGAGATGGGACCTCCCTCGGTGGGGATGACCAGAGCAGAGCCCTCCAGCCACCCCATGATGGACACAGAGCATGAGTGGAAAATGAACCTTTGTTGCTGTACCACTGGGGGAAAAAGAGGGTGGGTATACCCACCTCTACCTTTCAAACTGACCTCATCCCAGACGTCTTGGGGAACAGAAAATGAAACACCATGTAGAGGAAGCCACAGGAGGCCAGAGAGAGGTCCAGACCCTGCCAGATGTGATCCTGGGAAAGTCACTTGGCCACCACGAGCCTCCAGCTTTCACATCCTTACAAGAAGAGGATTTGGTTAGATGACCTTAATGCAAGATGATATTGCGGAACCTGGGGTCCACAGGATCTCTCTGCAGTCTTTCTCACAGCTGCATGTGAATTTATAATGCTCTAAAAAATAATAATAAAGAAAAAGCTTTAGCTGGGCGCAGTGGCTCATGCCTGTAATCCTAGCTCTCTGGGAGGCCGAGGCGGGCGGATTGCTCGAAGTCAGGAGTTCAAAACCAGCCTGAGCAAGAGCAAGACCCCG